GCAGCAGCAGCGTCAAACGTACAATCCAAGGTCTGGGCAGGAGAGTGAAAGCAATGTCCAGAAGCAATCCAAGGTCCAAGCCAAAGCAGCAAAGTCCCAAGAACAGTGTTTCTCAACCTGGGGGTCGGGACCCCTGGCGGGTCGCCAGGGGATGTCACAGGGGTCGCCAAAGACCATCAGAAAACAGTATTTTCCGATGGTCATGGAGGTTCTGTGTGGGTAGTTTGGCCAAATTCTATTGGTGGGGTTCAGAATGCTCTTTGATTGTAGGTGAACAATAAATCCCAGCAACTACAACTCTCAAATGTCAAAGTCTGTTTTTCCCCAACTCCACCAGTGTTCACATTTTGATATATTGTGCCAAGTTTGGTCCAGATCCATCATTGTTTGAGTCCACAGTGCTCTCTGGATGTAGGTGAACTACAATTCCAAAACTCAAGGTCAATGTCCACCAAACCCTTCCAGTGTTTTCTGTTGGTCATGTGAATTCTGTGTGCCAAGTTTGGTTCAATTCCATCGTTGATGGAGTTCAGAATGCTCTTTGATTGTAGGTGAACTATAAATCCCAGCAACTACAACTCCCAAATGTCAAGGCCTATTTTCCCCAAACTCCACCAGTGTTCACATTTCAGCATACTGAGTACTCGTGCCAAGTTTGGTCCAGATCCATCATTGTTTGAGTCCACACTGCTCTCTAGATGGAGGTGAACTACAACTCCCAAACTCAAGGTCAGTCCCCACCAAACCCTTCCAGTATTTTCTGCTGGTCATGGGAGTTCTATGTGCCAAGTTTGGTTCCATTCTATCGGTGGGGTTCAGAATGCTCTTTGATTATATGTGAACTATAAATCCCAGCAACTACAACTCCCAAATGTCAAGGTCTATTTTCCCCAAACTCCACCAGTGTATACATATTGAGTATTCGTGCCAAGTTTGATCACTGTGTCCACAGTGCTCTCTGGATGTAGGTGAACTACAACTCCCAAACTCAAGGTCAATGCCCACCAAACCCTTCCAGTGTTTTCTGTTGGTCATGTGAGTTCTGTGTGCCAAGTTTGGTTCAATTCCATCATTGGTGGCATTCAGAATGCTCTTTGGTTTTAGATGAACTATA